TGTCTGTCTCTCTTCTCTAACTCATGGCCTCTAATTCTTTACTTGTTGCTAAATACATAAATAAAATCCGATCAATTCATGTAATGTTACTTGTATGTACATGATTTCACAGTTGACCACTTAGTATTGGAGAAACAATTTGGGGGCTCTTTCCTGGGAAGACCATTTCTTCCACTGTCAGCATTCCTTTGTTGTTTGTCTAGGGATGAAGCTCCATGCGACTTTCCCTTTCCCTGTCAACTGGTGTCATTCTTGTTTAGGTCTTACTTAGGCAACCATGTTGGTGAGACTTTATTAATGTAACTTCTCTGACATTTCAAGGAGACAAAAATCTCATCACAAAGTCCCTGTTCCTCTGACTCCCATCTTTCCACCACACTCTCTGAGGTGCGATGGGTCAGCTGGGGCTAGAATCCACAGGCCACTTGTTCTCTGTGACTCTTGATTTGTTGGAGTTTTACATAATGGTCTTCTCTCTATCTGTTGCAGGGAGAGAATTTTGTGGGGGAGGAAGTGAAGAAGAGAGGGCAAGTATAAGTATATACCTATACTTATCTGCATACACTTCTTTTTAAAAGTTACATGTACCTTAAAAATATAACTATGGAAAAAGACATCAGCAACCAAAGAAGCTTGAATTTATAATCAGCAGTGTTAGGGCTACATATCATATCACATGGCAAATGACTCTGTAAATGTCTTCAAAGTGTGACTAACACAACCCCCTCAAATTCTGTGAAAATCCAAGAACACGATATAGCATGCTATTTTATAAAATTTATTAATAAGCTAACTTTAATTTTCATTCAATTTTAGCAACATGGTAAGAAGCAGTCGATGATGAATGGAGTCAACAGAAGATAAGGAAGTAGAGTCTTCTAGTGTAGCTTACTGAGAAAGAGAAGATTTGAGGAGGGCCAGGTTTGCAGGGTTTATGTAACTTGATGTATATGGTGTATGTACACATGCATGGCAAGCCATGTGTGTCACACTGTACTTAAAGAGGTCTGCAGACAACTTGTGGGAGCTGGTTCTTTACTTCCACTGTGTAGGTCCCAGGGATAGAACACAGATTGTCAGGCTTGGCAGCAAGCACCTTTACCTGTTGAGCCACCTAGAGTTTTCTGTTGTTGGTTTTATTTAGTTTTATTTAAAGATGAGACAAAAGACTCAGAGTTGGAGATGAGAAAAACCAAGAGCAACCCATTCCCTCTAAAACAGCGTTACAGAGAAAGTTAGCAGTAGTAGAACCAAAATAATGGACAGAACACAAATCTAATAATGAATAACTGACACAGCAAGTTTAATGCTGATATAGAGATAAATCTTTTAAAAAATGGCTAAAAGAAAGAGTTTATAAAAATCCTAATCTATCATATCAACTGGGATATTTTCAAAGAACCATGTAAGCAATGTCAAATACACCAGGTGTAGCGTTAGCTTGGGGCGACAATGGGAGTTAATGTATGTAAGGAGATGTGTCATTGGTAAACCCATTTTATATGCAGTAAGTCCTCGATGAACATCAGCAGCAAGATGACTAGAGCACAGCTGACCCAGCAACACCTTTAGTTCTGCTGCAATGTCATGATACCTCTTCCTTACACTTTCTCATCAAGGTTTAAAGCTAGGAATCCCCACCCTCATGCTCTGGGTAAACTCTTGAGCTCATTTCAAGGTGAGCGACTATATTGGGGTATACATGTCTGTTGTAACGTCAGGAGCCTCACACAGCCTCAGAAGGCTGTGAACTCCCAGGGTGGAGGGGCCACCCCTGACATCCTATTCTTCCTGCTTCCATTTCCCACGAGCCTGGATGAAAGGCATGCTTATTCAGGACAACCATCTTAAACTAACACAACATTACTTTATATTTTGAAATCAGGTGGTATGATTTATTTGGAATGTTCTCTATGCAAATTTGCTTGCCTATTTGTGGATTTCTGTGGTTCTACAAAATGGGTACCTTGGTGTGACTCCAACCAAGCAAGTGAAAGACCTGTATGAAAAAGCCATTAAGTCTCTGAAGAAAGAAACTGAAGAAGAGATCAGGAGATGGAAAGATCTCCCATGCTCATCGATCGGTAGGATGAACATAGTGAAAATGTCCATCCTGCCAAAAGCAATCTACATATTCAATGCAATTCCCATCAAAATACCAACACAATACTTAAGAGACCTTAAAATGTCAATTCTCAATTTCATATGGAAAAACAAAAAACCCAGAATTGCTAAAACAATCCTGTACAACAATAGATCGTCTGGAGATCCGCCTGCCTCTGCCTCCTTAGTGTTAGGATAAAAGGCGTGCACCACCACCGTCTGACAACAACATTGTTTTTTAGAATCCATACAAATGGAATTTTTCTTTTGTTTTCATTTTTCAAGACAGGGTTTCTCTGGGTAGCCTTGGCTGTCCTGGACTCACTTTATAGACCAGCCTGGCTATCAGCCTGCCTCTGCCTGCCTGAGTGCTGGGATTACAGGTGTGCACCATCACACCTGGATATACATGGAACATTTTATCATTCACTTGTGTCTTTTTTAATTTATTTCAATGTTTTAGATGCAGAGATTTTGTAACTTCTTGAGTTTATTTGTATCTATATATAATTATATAAATTTATAGCTACTGTCAATGAGATAAATTTCATAATTTGTTTTGAGTAACTCACTAGGTATACTGATTTTATAAACTGCACCTTTACTGATGTTTTTTGTTCTAGCAACTCTGGGAAAGAGGGTAAGACCACATCTTCAGCAAACTCAGAGCATTTCTTCCTTTCCTGTTTGTGCAACTTTTATTTCTTTCTTGATCTGGCTCAGATTCTAGCTCTATGTGAAACAGAAGCGGCCAGAGTTGAGTCTCAAGCATAAATGAAAAATCTGCGACTTTTAACCTCTAATATGATTATTGGCTCCAGGTTCCTGTTGAGGTTATTTTCCTCTATATGTGAAAGTCCACTGTAATAATTATACGGTATTTGCCTCACATTCTTTTAATAAGGTGATTATTAACCTGATTATGGCATCTCAGAAATAAACTCTATTCAATAATGGTAGGCAAACCTTCTATGTGCTGTTGAATTGGTGTTCTAGTATTTTTGCATCTGCATGTATCAACGGCCCTAGCCTATAATTTCCTTGACTTGCCCTTTTCCTGGCTTTTGCATGATAATGTTAGTCTAATAAAAATAAGTCTGTAATATTCCTTCTTTAATATTTTTAAGGGCTTAAAAGAAATAGGTAGGATTCAGTAGTAAAACCACTGAGATGTGAGTTTTGTTGGTCAATTTTAGAAAAATATGTAAAAAGGACCATGTCCCCAGCCTTATCCATGAGGAGATGTTTCAGGATCTCTAATGGATACTTAAAATCTCAAATGATATCAAACATATATTTTTATCTTCTTCCTAAGTAGCTATACATAAACTTAATGCTATTTCCAACTTAACTAAACATTTTATCATGTGCTATTATACCGGCCAATAACTTTTACGGTCTGGAGCACAGGAGCCAAATTGAATGAATTTCTAGTACCACTTTCTTGGTTTTATGAAAGATTCATTCCCATTGTAGATCTTAGCAAGCACAGAATATATTCTATATCATTGGTTTGGTTGTTTGTTTGTTTTTTTTTTTCCTTTCCTTACAAGTAAAATTTTTACTTTTTCTCCTTAAGTCGTGGTTTTCAAACTTCCTAATGCTAGGACCCTTTACTACAGTTCCTCAGGTTGTGGTGAGCCCCAACCATAGTTATTTTTGTTGCTACAAAATAACTACAACTTTGCTACTATCATGAATCAGAATATAAATCTCTGACATGCAGAATAGCTGATATGCAACTCTTGTGAGAGTGTCACTAGACACCCAACACTGAAGCTGTGACCCACAAGTTGAGAACTAACTACTGCCCTAAATGAGTTTTTTTTTTTTTTTTTTTTTTGGGGGGGGGGTTGTTAGTTCAATTTAATTTAAAATGTAGTACAAATTCAGTGCCTCCCAGGAGCTGAAAAGATGACTGAGAACTAGCTGCTCTTCCAGAGGAGCTTGGTCTGATTCTCAGAACTCACATGGTAGCTTCCAACCCCCTATAAAACAGTCCCAATGGACCACATGCACGACGCACAGACACGCCTGCAGACAAACACCATGCACATGAAGTAAAAGTAAAGGAAAACACTTAAAGCTTTCAAATTCGGTGCCTCCTCTAGGATTTCATGTCTGGACAATCTCTCTATGAAGCTGTCCTCTAATGCTTCTGTATTGAAGTTTGTTTCTCTTTGATTTTGTTAAAAAGTCTGCCTTATACATTTAGGTATTCCAATAGTAGGCGTGCACAAAAGTATAATATTGTATCCTTTTAAAATCATAATGATTTCACAGTATATAATAGGTCTCAGACAATTATAATACGTATGCTTTCTTTACCATCCTCTTAAGAAATATTATCTATACCATGGAACAGAATTAAGACAATGTCTCTGAATATCTTATGCTCTTTATAAACTCAGTTGTTCAAATTAAAACAAATACATTTCATCTTTTGGGCTCCTCGGCATTCCTCTATAAGGTCTGTGTATACTGCTGCCAATGATTTAGTGCTTTGTCAGCTCTGATTTTGAATATGTAGCTGTAAGTCTAATATTGTCTACCTATAAACTGCAGAACCTTGAGGCTCAACTCCAATAAATGCACTCAGCTATTCAAGTTAAAAATTTCTCTTTGTTCAGTTGTCAATTCCACGTAAAAATCATCTAAAAAAAGTCTGTCTGAAATCAATATGTTGAAACGTGGAAATAACAGAACAAGAAACAATTGAGTAATAAACCTGCATGGAAAGTTTCTTCCTTCAAAAGTTGACTGAGACATCATTCACAATACATTAACTTTACCATATCACTGATGGAGAGAAAAGAAAGATTAGGACATGGGTAGGGGCGTGAAAGATACCTACCTGCCTTCAGGTCAATGAACAAAAAGCTGGCACACAGGCTTACCTCTTCTGATTGCTCACAGGTCTGCGCAGGGGAGGTTCTTCTTCCCACGGTAAGTCGATGGCAGGGATAAGAGAGGCCTGACTCAGCAAGACACATCTGCACAAAATAGAATGCATCATTTTAAACAAAATGTACCTATCTTTCATAAAATAATTTTAGATTTCTCTTTTTAAAATAATTTTAGAGAGCTTACTCCATTTGCCTGGGTATTACATTGCTAAGAAGGCTTTGATATTCTAACACTTTTCCATAAATAGATATTTTGGTAAGCCAGGTATGATTGCACATCCCTTTTAGCAGAGGCAGATATATCTCTGGGAGTTCAAGGCTAGCCTGGCCCACACACTGAGATCCAGAACAGCTGGGACTGCATAGATAGATCCTGTCTCAAGAATTAAAACTGTGGTAGTCAAGACTAATTTTCATTAGAAAACAGATGGGAGAAAAAATTCTGCTAATGATTCTGCTATTCACAGGATCAGACCCCAGTTTCCTAGAAAGGACATATGGAAGAGTGTGTGTTGAGGCAATGGTGCTTTTATTTTACTACATAGTTACAATGTTATTTATACATCAGTATTACTATATAATTTTAAGGATTATAAGGACTAGAACTTAAAAGGGTTTACATTATTTTTACAGTCCTTACTTTTATAATCTTAAACAGTATCCAAAGAATCTGTCTTATTTGGCAAAAACAATTAAGTAACACATTTATGTCTGACAAAGTGTATAGTATATCTGATAATAAGCAAAATTAATTTTGAGGTTTAAACTGAAATTGAGCAAACAAAAAATGACTGAACTTTAAGTTTCAAAATCATCAATTAACTTAAGAAAAAGTCAGATTTTAAGAAAATACACTTACAAATTTTTATCTGTTTCAGGATTAGTATAACCTATGAAGAAAATACAAAGCAAAAGAAAAACTCCAAAGAATTATGCTTAACCAGACAATTTTCTATGCCAACAGTTCATGGAGATTATCGCAACACTTTGATAGTGCTGTAACACACAGTGCATGCCACATATGACCTATTCTGTAAGGTGCTTCTATCATGTGAGTTTAGTCACCTCCAGTGTCTACAGACTATTGAGATTTCCTGTTATTTTAATTATGTAAAGAAGTAAACAGCAGTAAGGTGGGCTGGAGAGAGGTTCACTGGTTAAGAGAAGTCTGCTGTGCAGAGGACCTGGGTTTGGTTCTCAGCATCCAGCACTTGGTGGCAGTCACAGTAACTCTAGTTCCAAGGGAGCCGATGCCCTTCTCAAACTTCTGTGTGATACGTATGGACATGGTATACTTACTTGCACGAAAAACAGGCATAGGATGAGTGTTTTAAAACACTCATTCTTAAAAACCAAACAAAACAATGTTAAACGCTACAGGTAGAGCTTAGTGGAAGAGCACATGCTGAGCATGCTCAATTGATTTCCAGCACTCAAATCAACAAAACCATTACACAGCCTGAAGAAGATGTGTGTGCCTCAGGCAAATTAAAAGGTACATACATGTACTTATGTAATAATAACCAAAGTCAAAGTTTCTTTTATCATTAGAAATAAAGTATGGTATCCATGACACACTCAAAGTATTCTTTCGGTAACTCTTGGGAGGTGTGAATTAGTGTGTCTTGAAGAGTAGAAATCCAAATATCTACAAATTAATAAATTCATAGGCAGCAGACAATAGTGGATGAGGCAAACTAGAATTCAAACATGTTTAAATAGGCTAATTATTTTAAGGTAAATATTAGGATGGAAAATACAGACTTTACGTAAATACCCAAGTACATTCAACCACATGTGATGTGTGCTGACATACACAGACTGTGTTGAAAAACCTCATGTCTAGCCAGGCGTGCTGACACATGCCTTTCATCTAGTACTTGGGCAGAGACAGGTGTGCCTCTGAGTTTGAGGACAGCTTAGAGTTTCCATCATCACTGAGAGAACACGTACACAGGTCCCCACATAGAAGATCAGCTTATGTAGCTACAGCTCAGCTGATTGTGTTGACCTAGTGTGAGCGAGCCTGAGTGGGGTCCTCAGCAGCACACAAAGACAGTGTGCACTTGTAACCCCAGACCTGGGAGGCAGAGGCGGGAGGAGCCTTAATGCCAAGTCAGCCTTGTCTGTACACTGAACATGAAGCCAGTCTGGAAATCATGAAACTCAAAGAACAAGAAACAAAATCATCTTAACTAAAAGATTCTGTTATTTCATCCTTCACTTATGTATTGCTTAGTAAATGCTGCTTAAATAAATGAGGGAATAAGTTTCTGGTTAGATATAAGATACAGTATCTGTCTTAAGGTGATGTGTATGTCAACTGAGCAGACAGACACACAACGCAACAAGCACAGAACCTTCTAGAGGGAGAAAAGTTGGTAGGAGTTTATTTCATTTCTAAACCTTACTGGCTAATTAAGCGTTTAAAAAGAAGGAGGAGGAGGAACTCTCATTCCACAGCATAACCTGAGGTTAAGAGCACTGGCTGGTCTTCCAAAGGTCCTGAGATCAATTCCCAGCAACCACATGGTGGCCCAAAACCAGCTACAGTGAGATCTGGTGCTCTCTTCTGGTGTGCATGGAAGAACACTGTATGAAGGAAGGGAGGGAAGAAAGGAGGGAGGGAGGAAGCAAAGAAGGAAGGATGGATGGATAGGTAGATATAGACAGACAGATAGACAGACAGACAGACAGACAGTAGGGAAACAGCTTCTCTTTGCTTTCACAGTCCTGAATTTTGTACCTTCCTTTAGTACTTAAATCTACTTTTGTGTGTGTCATTTCCTCTGGGCTAGATCTTTTGCAGTTAAAAATGTCTTCTGGTACTTAGTTTATTCCTTATTTTGTCTATTTTGGCCAAATGGGAAAAATAAGTGATACTCAGAATCTAATAATTCGAAGAAACAGTGACATATTGACTGTGGGAAATTAACAGGACTCAACTCCAGACCAAAGTATTTATCCTATGTTCCAAGTTTTCCTGGACAAAAACATTACACAATGAACTGCTAAAAAATTATCCACTAGTTCTATGAGAAGTTTGTCAATAATAGGAGGTATTTCTGCCTCTTATTAATATGCATATATCAATTTATCACAGGGAGAAAAGTATCTAAGTGAAACTCAGAATACAGCTCTAAAACCCAGGAGATACTAAAATGCTTCAAAAACAAAATTCACTGTAAGTAAAGTAATGTTGTTTTTACAAGTATATTTTGGTATTGGGTTTCTCCAAAAATAATGCTACTATTTATATTCTTTAGTCAAGGAGAACCTTTATACTTAAGCACATTACTGGGGTGTATTAATTTCTAAGATGGTAATCCCTGGGAAGAAAAATCAGTCAATAGAGCCTTCATATGATGGCTCCTGGGCAAATACCATCAACTTAAACCTGAAATTAAACTGAAAGCAGACATAGTTGTATAATAATTGAGACAAAGATCATATTAGTAACTCAAAGGACAAAGTCCTTGTAAGATTTATATTGTAAGAATTATACAAGCAGAGTCAGTGTGTTTAGCACTCCTCCTAATTTTATCACTAAGAAAATTGTTAGAGAATACTTATAAGTGAATAAAATACAACTGTGGTTAAAATAAATAGTTCTAATGATATACCAACCGCATATTAATAATAACAGTTTTACAAATTCCAGGCTTTGTAGAATTGTAAACATAAGTACAGCTTTCCCCTGACATATCTATCTGTGGATGAGAAACTGGTTCATCCTAAATGCTCACAAAGACAGTCCTCCTATAGGCTCTTTGTCCAAATAGTTTACTTTGCACGGTAATACACTGAGAAGGCGGGACTGTCCTTCAGGAGCCCCAGCCAATGATGTTTGAGGTGCTAGTAGAGCACACATGAAAACCGGTTAACAAAGATAAAAAGATATTAATGCCAATTTCATGCCTGCCTGTAGATGACCAGCCTCCCAATGTGTACAGCTGAAAGTGTCTGTAAGCAAGTTTTTTAAAGATACCTTTAAAACGTTTAGGAAAGACAGTTAAAATATATTTATAGGACAAGTGAAATAATAAATGGAGGAAGCACACCTGTCCTAATGATGTATAGGCACATTATTAAACAGCATTTTCTCCTTAGGAGAGAGTTGTGGCATAAGATAAAATATACAATAAGGCATTATGATATACTGATTCAAAGGGGGCTGAAGCTCAACCGACAGTAGAGAGACTATGCTAGCAAGTAGGACTAGTAATAACGATGCCTACATAGAAAAATGCATACAAAGTTTGAGTAAAATTATTTCATGAACTGTAACAGTGGACCAAAGGAGCATCTATAAGCTAAAATTACTTATTATCATCATTTTTGCTATGGAGGACTTTTAAATTAACAGTAAGTATACTGTCAACAAAATGTTTATGCAGTTAAATTATTCCAAACACCCCTTAATGATTGACTAAAGAGCTATCTACACCATTCATAATTTGAAAATAAGATTACAATTTTATGCTCAAGTTTATATCTGATTGTTCCGGTCCACTAACAATGAATGAAACATAATAATGGCATCATCTAAAAAGTTGGACATAAGAAAAGTATCAGCAACTGAATTTTCCATTTAGCAATTCAAGGAAAGCATTAGGATTCAAAATTTTGGTTGACTGTCAGAAGAACAAAAGATGTCTTTTCTGTGTTAACTTTTATTTATATATATATATATGTATATATAGATATATTTTACAGTGTAAACATGAAATCAGGAGTAGACTTTTAAAATCAGTATGTCTGAGTTCAAATTCATTTCTAGAGTTCACTACAGTAAAGATTCTACCTCACAAATCCATGTTTTTCCTTCTATAAAAACTGGTAAGGCCTTGCCTTTAGGCTTCTGTTTAGAAAAGGTTACATGAGGATAGATTTGCAACTAGTCCATCAGTGAGTAAACACCCTTAAAATCCATCTGAAGACCGTCTTCTTTCAGAACCTAATTACTAGGAACATGCTAACTATGGCAGCTATTCTCAAAACACGCTCTGCAGACGGGAGGCTGTTGCCATCTTTTCTGGAGGGTCACAGCATCAGAGTCACGCCTAGAAACACAGGGGCCACCTGCG